TGTGGCTCTGTCCCATCTCTGAGCCGAGACAGAGACTGCACCGTCCCCTTCACTCCCATCTGCCAGTGCATTAAGAAAATGAGAGCTGATTAAAGTCATCCCCTCCTGARCACCATTGGTCCCCAGGAATCGCTGACACCGATTCAGGGGCGGTGGCAGAGGGGTGGACATCCCTCTGTCCACAGACGTCCAGTGCCAGGTGGGTTTGGGGTTGCTTGGGTCTGAGCATTTCCTGTGCTCACGAGGAGTGCTGTAATTGCAGAAAATGAGTGTGTTAATTTGATTTCCTGTTTTCTGTCACCTGTTAAAAGGTTGGTTGRGGCAGTGCCTCTCCTTGCAGCCCTGCTCCTCCATTGCACGCCAGGCAAGGATGCCAAGATGGGATGGGAAGGAGCTTCTGGGTGCCCACAGCACCCCATTAACCCACAGCAAATGGAAGGGCCCTGTAGCACCAAAAACTCTCGTGTTTCTCAAGGCAGGCCAGCTGGAAAGCCCCATTTCCCTCCCATTAATCTCCACCCGCCAGCACTTTCTAGAAGGCAGCTAAGAAACATTGAAACTGGGGAGATTTGCAAAATAAACAGCGATCAAACGCAAAGCCCTGGGTTCCAGCTCTGAGGGTGTCTGCCAAGACACACAGATCGTATCAGGCTAATTTACAAAAGGAAAACCGCCCTAATTAGTGTTCAGGAAAGCACGTTAATGAGAAGAGCATTAGTGCAAAAAGCAAGAGTGCCAAGAGGTCAAGCTGTTCCTAATGCCAGAAAAACAGGAAATAGGGCATAGCTGATCTCTGCCCACCCAGGCCGCTGCACCATTTTCCCACTTTTTAAATAATATCTCAGGCTATTAGTGAGGAATTCATAAAACCCAGGGAATAACGCCCAGTGGCAGGGCAGACACCCCGTAGGCAACAAGTTCTGATGGTGGCGATGCCAGCTGTGGACAGGGCTCCTCGCAGGCGTCTTCTCCTCTTTTTGGGGACAGAGAGCAGGTTTTATGGACTGTCCCCATGTGAAGGGAAGAGCAGAAGCCCTGTCAGTGCCACAGCCCCTCTGGCTCTGACGGCGGCCAGTAACCATGGCAGCGGAGGGAATTGCACGTGATATCGGCATTTCTGCGGCACAAAAGAGCCTCTTATCTGCAATGAGTAACTGGTCTGGCTGGTCTTCATTCCTCCGGTTATTGCTAAGGCTGAGCATCATGGGGCAGCTCATGTGATGCTCGCCCTGGGACACATCCAGATCATCCTCGGGGACACTCACGGGAGGCTCCAGGATGCCCTGGATGCTCACTCAGCCCCACAGCAGCAGAGGCAGAGGCAGAGCCAGCCCTCCCCAGCACTTCTGGCAGATAAAGATGGGAAAGGGAAGGCTGTTCTGGCGAGCTCAAGTGTGCAAAATGAGCAATTGGGCCATGTGAAGCAATTTGGGCCGTGCTGGCTGTCCCCAGGATGTCACAGCCTGGAGATGTCAGGGGTGTTCCCTGGCATCCCCACTACCTGATTCATCTCACTTCTCCAGTTGTTTGCATTTCTTCTCAAATTCCTCCCAGTTTATCCAAGAAAACAGTTTTGAGACTTTAACTGTTCGACTTCCAGCTCTTCTCATGCATTAAGTGCCTTTAAAAGCAGGGAAAAACTGCACAGAGAATGTAGGTTTCTAGGCTTCACTTCTTCAGATGACTCAAATCCAGCTCAGTGGTATTGCACAGATGCCTCTTTGACATTTATCCTAAGGAATGAACCAAAGTGGGCAAGTTTCATCCYAAAATAAGAATGGGTGAATAAATGAGGAAAGAATGAGAAAGGAAAAGGTCACTGAGCCTGAGTCCAGCCTAAGTTGGTGCTAATAAATGCTGTCATGGGTATCTGTAGGTTTGTGAACCTCTGTGTGGCCCCTTCCCAAATGTGGTCTGGCATTTTTTTCAGGCTGTTAACTCCAGTGGGACCATTTACAAGGAGCTGTGTGCTCAGAGCAGAGAAATCCAGACTTGTATTAGCTCAATTTTAGGGGAAGGTAAAAGGGATTCAGAGAGATTTATATGCAGGCATTACTCAAAGCAGAGCTACACAAAGGAAAGAATACATATAGGCAGAAAAAGTGGGTTACAGACTGTTCCCAGAGCTAGGAGTGCGTCCTGCTGGTAAGGTCTGCAGGTTTCAAGGTTAAAGTGCTTAATTTTATTTCAAGCTTTCTAATTAACCACCATTTAACTGGGCTTTCCATTTATCCTGCAATTTCTTTCTGGACCTCAGTCTAATCCTCAAACCTGCTTATTTGCTTTTACTTTCGTTACAACCTTATCAGTGATTAACCTGCAACTGCACTTAATCTTTTTAAAAGATTTCTCTGGCTATAAATACAGAGAAGCTCCCTGCCCTGTTTCTACCCAGAAGAAAACAACTTCCTCCCCTGTCAGATGTCTGTGGTGGGTCACACTATTCCTTCTGACAGCTGATTTTTCTAATGGGAGATATTTGTCTTCTCTAACTTCACACAGAACGTTGAATCAATAGCAGGTCTTTCAAAGACACAGGCCACAAGGAATATGAGTTCACCTCCAGTATAAAATAAAAAGTAGATATAGATAAATACAAATATAAATATAACTAAACTATAAATATAACTATAACTAAACTATAACTATAATGAAATATATATATAACTATAAMTATAACTATAAMTATATATATATATATATATATATATATATATATATATAAAAATAGCATATATAGCGCCTCCAGTAAAGATGCTGCTTGTGACAGTGAGGCAAAACCTGCCACATTCCTAYAGCTCCMACAACAAGCTCTGTTTCTTCCTCCAGCAGTTCTCTATTCCACTTATTTCACAAAAAAAAGCAGCAACAGCTAAAATCTCACTGCAAGAAGACCTGGTTTCTATGGCAATGAGCAGCTGCCCGTCAAGATCCCCCAAGTACTGCATTAATATTATTAGAGGATCTCATATCAGATCGACCCAAGACTTCAGGACATGAAGTGGAATGAGTAAAAGCTAATAAGAAATGCAGTAAAGGTACATGGAGTGTTACCAAATCCATCAGGAGCGTTCCAAGGGCAGCAGGAGGAACGCCAGGTGATGAGTGCCCTCTGCAAGATATTTATTGGAACCAACGCAAAGGAAGCCCATTGCAAATACAGCAAAAATGAATGGAATTTAAAAGTTCAACAGAAAAAGGCCAATCCATGGCAACCCCCAAACCAAGAGGCACTAAAGTCTCCCTCCTCGTCATCTCTAAACAGTCCTGCAGAGCAAATAGAGCTGAGCTCAACTCCCCAGCCCAGCCTGCAAGCCTAGCCCTACCTTGACCTTAATTATTACCTGGAGAATAATCTCTCCAAAGGACTAAAGCCATAAACAGATCACAGAGAAGGATAATTTCAGATCTCCCCATGGTTCCAGAATTACCAYTTGTGTATCCATCACCATCTCATGCTGCACTTTGAAAAACTAAGATCTTCAAGCAATATTTGCTATTTAAGAATGTTCTTTTCTCTYCTATAGGTGATTAAAAACAAATTACAATTCTGCTCCCTGTATTATGTGACCTCTGAGCCTCTCAATTATTTATGGAGAAATCTGTGAATGCATGCAAGGATTTTCTGGCTCTGTCAGTGCATGAGTGGGGAAAAGGTTGGAAAACAGCTGGAATGTTSAAATGAATCCATTGCAAATGAATGGTAATCTACATGGTGTTTATTGTAGATACAGCGAATTATGAAAGCAATTACAGCCCACTATTTATTTAAATGCTTTTTCTAAACAATATTAAATCATAGCAGCAAATCAGAGCCTCGGTTTGGTTTTTGCACATTTCTTGGTTTGATTATATAAATATTTAAAAGGTGAAAAAAACCCCAACTTTTCACTCCCACCAAAATCCTCTAYCCAGCAGGAAACCACTTGCAAATGACTGAGGATAAGAAATATTCAGGAAGTTTAGGTGAGTGCAGGCTCTCCTCTGCAATGCAATGGCTCCAGACCCTCCTGCAGCATAGTGGAGCTCATTAAATTTGTTTAAAAGAAAGCAAGCCATTTTTAATTAATACTAGCATCTAKTCTGGCTTTTACTGCCACAGAAACCCATCTATTTTGTGAGAGAGGGGGGAAAAAAAATCAACAAAATGAGATCCCGAGGGAGGTGAAGAGCAGCCCTGATGGGAAGAGGAATCACCCAGGGGGTGACGCCACCGCTGCCACCCTTCMCTGAGAGCCAGACCTGTGGAACCTGCAGCACTGCTCACAGCGTTTGCTGAGCACTGAGCAGTCCCTGGGCCATGSTGATGGGGCTGCTCCCTGCAGCAAAACCTGCCCCAACATTTCCTCCAGAGATGGGACGTGGCTCCTCTCGATGGAGCCGCTGGGACAYGGCCAGCCAAAAACTCGAGGAGGATCTGCAACACCTCATTGAACACTGCCTCACCCACTGCTCCTCACCACCCCTCAGCTCACCAGCAGCTGGCTCTGCTTGGTGCTGGGTTTGAGGAAGGTGAGGAAGGGCCTGGTGGTGCTGGAAGATGATGGGACACCTTGAGCCATCCACCTTCCCCTCCAGCAGCCAGTTCCAGCACGGCTGGGAGAGTGACCTCACGAGTGCCCTGTTGCAGTGAGGAGCACCAGAATGGCCTCTCTCTGCATGGGAACTGTGGCCAGGAGCCAGCCAAGTGACCCCAGGGCTGGAAATTGGCTGCTGGAAGTGTGGGTGTCACCGAGGTGCAGCTGTGAGTGCAGGGGAGCACCCACATGGTTGTGCTCTCTTGTTGGCACAGGCACTGAGCTGACTCTGAAACAYTGCCTGGGAGAGGAGAGCACTCACTGCACTTCTCTTTCCCCTCCCAGCTGGGAACCAACTCAGCTTCTCCCTTCCTGCTCTCTGTTTGTCCCTCCCAGCACTGGCAGCACCGAAAGATCCCAAGGAAAGGGACTGGAAAAGGAACATCTCATCCAGGATTCTGCTTCTCTGTACTTGAAAGATGCTCACCAAATCTCTGCATAACAGCCCTGAGCCATGGAGAGCCCACCACCTTCCCAGCGTGGACAGCTGGCAAGAATTCCTCCCAGTGGCAAAGCCAAGGTGGTCTTGGCACCAYGCAGGGACCCTGGAGCATCTTGCAGTCTGGGCACTCAGGAACAGAGCTTGGCATTCTCATGACAGCCTGATTTGGCCTGTGAGCATAGTCCACATCCTTTTGGGATGAATCACTCCCCACTGCTGCTGTCAACCTTGAGCCCAACAGAGAAACCTCCTTGTTTTTTTTTTTTTTTTCCCTTGGTTGTTTGTAGCCAAGCAGTGACTCAGCTGTCAGAGGTGAATAACTCTTCACGCTTTGTCTGAACACTCATTAACCATCCAGAGCCATAAAAAGCTATTTTTCCATAGCTCTCCCTCCACGAGGCTGGATTTCAAAGCAAGAGGGTTGGTCTGAGATTTAGTGGGGAATTAATAAAGGTGCTCAATAGACCTGCAGAGTATAGAAACCTTGCATGGTTCTGGATCAAACGGCCCAGAAAAGGGTTTTATCAGCAGGGATTGAGGGTCTGGGCAGAAAAGGGAGGCAGATCCTACCCACAGCACRCAGCAAAGCCTACAGCCACTGCATGGGAATTATTAACAACAAAAATGTGCAACCCCAGGCGTTTGCCTGACTCCTACGCCTGCCCTGGGACCTGCTGCTGTTTCATTTCTCTTCTTCTGCTTCATCTTTCTCTGAAATCTCAGCAGCAAGGATTTCCTCATCTTCCTTTGCCGTGGAAATCACACGAATGGTGACGGAATGATCAGGAGATTCTGAGGATATTTCTTGTCCCAGGCGGGTCTGTGCTGTGTGGGAGGTGACAGGTGACCTCTGGTGCACTGGTGATTTTGGTGGGATCGGGCTGACACCAGAACCCTGCAATAAAAAATAAAAAAATAAAAGGCAAAATGAGCCTTAGCAGATCCTCACCCACTACCCCCAACATGGCAAAGCCAGGCAGGTTCTCTGTGCTTCCACCACAGGATYTCTGCACTGGGATGTCAGCTTGCTGCCAGAGATGTTCCCTGCACGAGGGGCAGCTGGGTTATATCCGAATGTTTTGAACAACACGCAGAGAGGAGCACAACAGAGCTTCCTCACCCTCCTGCACTCTCATTTTGCTCCTGAAGAATCTGGAGGGGCTGATCGTGGCCAGGCATGGCAGAAGTGCTGTTGTTGCCCCATCCTCCTTTAGAGAGGAGCCTTAGAAGCTGCCCCAAGGATGTGCCATGGAGAGGGATGTCAGCAGTTCCTGCTCACCCCTCAGAGGAGTTCATTCCCTACTGATGCACCCTTCAGCAGCTGGGCTTGTTTTCACTTCCATTCAGAGCCCTCAGTGCCCCTGTTCACTGCTGCAGTTAACTGGTTATGAATTAATGTAAAACACCACATTGTTTGAAGCCTCTTGTGCCCCTGAAGGTCTGCAGAAATGCWGCTCTGCTTGGCATCAGCCTGCTGTTTACCCAGCCCAAGGCCACCACACTCCCTATCAGCTCCTCTTTGCCCTCCCTCTGCACATCCAGATGTGATAAGTGTGCAGGGCTCCATGTGAGAACAGTAACAACAAGGTCTGCACACAGAGACGAGATTTTCCTTACAAGTTTAGTGGAAACAACTGGGAAAAAAAAAAGAAAAAAAATAAAAAAAGCACAGGGTGGTTTTTTTTTTCAGCTGCTCGTGACAAAAGGCAAGGGAGTTCATGAAGAGGTGGCAGGATGGCATTGCCTGCTGTGAGGACCTCTGGGGAAAGCTTTGAAATATTGACTGGGCTGTGAGTGCTGCGTGCCAGCATCACCCTCATCCCGCCAGCACATCCATTAATTATCTCTGCAGAATGCAAGGCACATTAATTTGTCTGTGGCTAYAGCCCAGCTAGAAATCATACTCAGGCTTAGCATAGGTAGGCAAAAAGTCAGTGTGGCAAAACAAAGCCCTGYGGGACCCTGGCACTGCCCCAAGGGCCTGTGTGAGATATTGGATCACCCCTTCCTGCCTGCCCACGCTTTGACAGACMCCAATGTCCCGAGCTCACTCCTTCAAGGCACTTTAACCACCCCAGAGCTGSTGGGGAGGGCAGACTGGGCATCAGGGAAGCAAAGGCAGATTGCCAGGCTCTCCGTGCTGACCTGTGCCTCCTGCACCGCCCTGAGCTCCCTCAGCCTCCAGCGCAGCCGCCCCAGGAGCCCTTTGCCCCTCGTTCTCCCTGTGGCAGCCAGGGCAGCCTTCAACAGCTTCGGGGTGTCGGCTTTTGGGGGGATGATCAGTGCTTCTCCACGGCCTCCTTTCTCCTCTTTGGGTTTGTTGTTGCTTTTCAGCATTTTCCTGCAGCACGGAAAAGGAGAGGTGATGTCAGTCTGGGAGCACGTTCCATTCGCTGGATTTTATAACGCAGACAAACCAAGCGATAAAAGGACGAGGTGTTTTGGGTTTGTTTTTTTTTAATGCCGTAGGGAGGACATAACAACAAATCAAGTAATGCTAACATCTGAAAGGAATCTTTTAACGGATTTTTTAAGGGCCACGCTCGTTGCCCAGCTCCACCCGCTTTTAACAGCGAAGGTTTTCAGCCGGAGCGTCCCAGCCCAGCCCTGTGAGCGGGGTGCCCTCTGCCGAGGGACAGCGGCTGCGGCGGGGCTGGGAGTGACCAGCGGGACTGGGAGCCATCGGCGGGGCTGGGGGCACAGTGCCAAAGCAGGAGCTTTCCAGGGCTCCACGCACAGACAGCACTCCCCCGAGATTCCCAAAGCTGAAACTCCCTCGAGACTCCCAAACCCAAAACACCCCCGAGATTCCCAAACCCAAAACTGCCCCAAGGCTCCCGAACCCAAAACTCCCCCGAGATTCCCAAACTCATCCCGAATCCAAAACACCCCCGAGAGTCCCAAATGCAAAACTGCCCCGAGATTCCCAAACCCGAAACACCCCTGAGATTCCAAAACCCAGAACAGCCCCAAGATTCCCAAACCCAAAACTCCCCCGAGATTCCCAAACCCGAAACTGCCCCGAGATTCCCAAACCCGAAACTGCCCTGAGATTCCCAAACCCAAAGCACCCCCGAGATTCCCAAACCCAAAACAGCMCCAAGATTCCCAAACCCAAAACTCCCCTGAGATTCCCGAACCCCAAACTCCCCCAAGACTCCCAAACCCAAAGCACCCCCGAGATTCCCAAACCCAAAACTCCCCTGAGATTCCCAAACCCAGGCTCTGCTGGCTTTAAACCCCCACAGGTCAGAAAGCCGCAATCTGACACGCACTTGGCCTTCTTACGCAGCAGCTTCTGAGACTCCGGGTAATGCACCAAAATCTCGTTCAAGTCCTTCTTCTCCAGGATGAAAAGGTTGGCGAAGCCGTGGGCCACCACGTTCGCTGTCCGGCGATTTCCCCCTCCYGCTGCCAGCAAGCTGGGAGAGAAAATGCAGGACATCAACACCTCTGTTCACAGCTCAGAGCTTCAAATCTCCTTTTACACATCTCCACCTCTCTCCTCCATGGGACTCAGAGTTTAATTTTCACTCCTGATGGAATTTATCGTGTACAGTTTTTAAAGAATGATAAAGGGAAACAGTGCATGGAGCACTACATAAAAAAATATAGGTTTGAAGGGTTAAATATTGCATTTTACACTATAAAAAATTGTGAGTTTGAAGGGTTAAGTATTGCATTTTACACCATAAAAAATTGTGAGTTTGAAGGGTTAAATATTGCATTTTACACCCAGTCTAGTGTCTGCAGTATTGCTGTGTTACTGACTGGTGCACAGCTTTCCATGCTCATGAAATGGGTGGATTAATGACTGTAAACTGTACTTGTGAAACATATTTCTTATCAATTTTCCCRTTCCTYCATCCATATACCTCTGTTTACCATYACCAGCTCCCCAGGCAGAAAAGAACATGATGACAAAACCAGCAGGAAAGCTGTAAGTTGTGTATCAGCTCCTGCCCAGTGTTCATGGCTCTCAATCACAAAGATTATTTGGGATGCAGCTGGTCCTTCCCCTTCCCCACCCTCCTCACCCACAGCTGTATTTCCCCAGCTCCCTGAAGATGCTTCACTCACCTGATTTCTCCAAAGACAGACCCAGCTTTCAGAGTCACCAGCACGGATTTGCCGTCGGGTCCCCCCAGCACCTGCACCTGTCCCGCCTGGATAATGTACATCTCACGGCCTATTTCTCCCTGCAGGGAAAAGAGCAGCTGGGTGGGATGCCCTCAYCACCACACTGCCCTTTCCAAACTCCCAAAATGTCCTGATGGCCCTCATTCCTGAGTATTCCCATCTAAGCATCCCAAAGGCTCCGACAGGAGGCTTTTCCCTGCTCTCCTGCTGTTCAGGGCTGCAGCAGAAGATCTCAGTCTTTGTACCAGACCAGCTGCAGTGTTTTGGATGTTTTTGCCCCAAATTCCCTCCCTGTGCAGCTTTTCACCAGGGTGGTGGCCAGGCTTGGCTTTCCCCAGTGCCCTGCACAGCCTGGCCGTGTCTCCCACACCTCTCATTACCTTCTTGCACACGAAGTCGTTGGGCAGGTACACCACCGATCTGAGCCGCTTCAGCATGTCAAAGATCATCTGTCTGTCACAGCCCTGAGCCCAAACAGAGCCAAAAGGTGCCAGCATTAGTCAGTGCTGGTGTGGCAGGCTGTGCCAGCCCGGGCTGTGCTCAGGGGTACCTGGAAAAGGGCCACTTTGCTGACGATGTTGTAGTTCACGTCGATGGCGATGTCCAGCCTCATCTTGTCCGGCAGCTGCACCAGCAGCTCTGACTCATCTGTGACACAAAGCAGAGAACAGAAGTGGCTGCTGCCAGCCCTGTATCCAAAAGTGTGTCTTTCATGTGAGGAAGAAGGCCAAGCTCTGGGTGGCAGAGGGCAGCAGCCAGCTCGCACAGAGGGGTCTCCTCCAGCCTTTGCGGGTCTGAATCTGAGCGATGATGGAAAACCATCCCCTGCATCATCCCTGCCCTGATGGCTCTCAGAAACATCACTGAGCCCAAGTCAGCAACCTTCTTGGCCAGGAGGGTGGGCACAGAGCTCCTGGTCCTGCCTGATGACCTGCTGGCAGGGTGAGCTGGTGACTTTGCTGCTGGACACGCTCTGGCCAGTGATGGACACTCATTGGCACTCACTGTCCTCTCCCCAGGGCACATGGGACACTGGACTCCGTGTGCTGTGGGTGATGTGGGGTCACCAACTGCTGTGTCCCAGTGGCATCCTGCAAACCTTCTAGGTCGGCAAACAAACCCCTACACTGAGGAGTAAAACAAGCCACCCCCACCCCCAAAGTGCAGAGCTGTTCAACAGTGACATTTCAGCTCTGCAAAGCACCCACAGTAAAACAGTAAAACATGAGACACGAGCATCGTCCCTGAGCAGCTGGAACTCACCTAGCATGCCTTGAGAGTGCCATGTGTACTCGTACCACGTCTTCACCCGCTTCTGAACAGTTTTGGGGATCCTGTAGAAGTTCATGTATTTGATGGTGCTGTCCATGCAGCTCCGATAATAAGTTTGCCCCGCAGTAGCAGCGCCGACCACGTCTCTCATCTGAGTGGAAGAAGTAAAGAGAACTTTTAGTTGCTGTCACTTATCCATCAGCAGGTTAAGCCAAGCCCTAACAGCATCTGCCAAATGCTTTTTGTCCTGCACCAATGCTGACCAGGTCTTCCCACGGGGAAAACAAACCTGGAGATGGAAACCTGTGGATCAGCTCCACCAAAACCATCCCCACCTGATGCTGGGAACACCCCCCGACTCCCACTCACCTGCCCTATCATGACAGAGAAAGCAAAGACGCCTGTGAAGTAGTTCAGCAGCTGGAAGACGATCTCAAAGAGTGTCTTGGGGTCTGGCAGGCCCCCGATGGTGATGAGGGTTTTCACTGCCCAGTAGTAGCAGCGGATGTAGCTGGGAGGAGAAGAGGAGGCAGCTCTGAAGGGGATTCTGGGATGAGGTGCCATAAACCTGCACATTATCTGCAGTATTTACACTTTTGGAAATCAGCAGGGGGAAAAAAGAACAACTGTGTTTGTGAGCAAATTGTTGGGATTTAGGAGATGTCAAGTGAATTCCTGACTCCCTGGTCTTGGGCATTCTTTGGGATGTTATGTTTACCCCTGGAGATAGATAAAGCTTCGTGTATCATATGAAATAACTCCAYAGCAGCAACATTAACACCCATGTGGGCATTCAGCTGGTGAGCCAAGGACTCTGCCTTGGCATCAATCATTGCAACACAGTGGGCATTCAACACGTTATTGCCATGGTGAGGGGAAGGGCTGGCCACTGTCCTCATCTCACACCAGGAATGAGGGTGCTGGCCACTGTCCCCATCTCCCACCCAGGAATGAGGGTGCTGGGCTGTCCCCATCTCACACCAGGAATGAGGGTGCTGGGCTGTCCCCATCTCACACCAGGAATGAGGGTGCTGGGCTGTCCCCATCTCACACCAGGAATGAGGGTGCTGGCCACTGTCCTCATCTCCCACCCAGGAATGAGGGTGCTGGACTGTCCCCATCTCACACCAGGAATGAGGGTGCTGGGCTGTCCCCATCTCACACCAGGAATGAGGGTGCTGGCCATTGTCCCCATCTCCCACCAGGAATGAGGGTGCTGGGCTGGTCCGAGGGGTCGGGCACAGGGCACAAGGACACGCAGGGTCACTCCTCCAGCCCCACCTGGCAGCAGATTAACACTGACAGAAACAGGACCTGCTTCAATCCTGCTTGGCCAGGCAGCATTCCCTTGCTTCCCAGCACCAGGATCTCACTTTTTCAGCCACTATTTATCACCCCTGCCCAGCTGCAGCCTCTTCACCTTGCAGCACTGTYTATTACTGCACACCCCATCCCTCCCATCCTTGTCATTCTCCCTGGCTCCACATTTCTCCTGGCACTCCCAACCCTTTTCTTCAGGGATTTTTTACAAATCCAGCTGCATCCCACCCTGCTCCAGCTCRTCACAGCAGGCTGTGCTGTGTGAGACCCCAGCCCCAGGGGTTGTACCTGTTTCCTTCCCCATCATAGACCCAGGTGGTGGAGCCCAGTCCTTCGTAGGCTGAGGCCCAGTAGTAGAGGCAGGAGTTGACGTGCAGGCTGTACAGTAAATAGGCAGTGGTGCGAATCACTCTGCAAAAAACCCAGGAGAGAGTGGGAAGGGGATGATGGGGCTGCTGGGGGAAGGTGTCAGTCCCCCCTGATCAATGGGATCCTTGAAACGATGACCCTACAGCTCCTGCCAGTGCAGGACTCACAGAGCACYCCAGCCCTGCTGCTGCTTTCTGCAGCTCCAGAAGTGACAGAAAAAACAGTTTATCTGCTGATGGCCCCTCTTCACTGCCAGCACCCTGTCCCTGTGGGTTGGAGAGAGGTGATCCTCCCATGCAGGCTTTGGGACTCCCCTGTCCACTGCATCAGCCAATGTTCGTGTCAGGCAGCCCAGGGACAGCAAGAAATAAATCAGAGACCCAGAACAAGTACAGAACCAAGTGAAAGTTCCTCCCCAGTGGCAAACAGCAATTCCACGCTCCCYCCTTCCCTCCTCCCCCTCACCTGTAGATGTATGCCTTGGTCAGGATGGCCTCCATGCGGTTGTTGAACTCGAAGAAGGCCATGTACTGGAGGAGAAGGAGAACTGCATGTTCCAGGGTCCCCTTTGGGAGAGTCAGCTCCCCATAAAACCCCTCTGCCCCTGTGTTCCCCTCCTGCAGCTCCTCTGCAGCGTGGGCTGCTACAGACAGCTTTTTTTTTCCATCTGTAAACATATCTCTACACAAATGTGAGTGTGGCTCAGGATTGAAATGAAGTGTTTGACCACCAGCCCTGCCAAGCTTTTGGGACAAAACTTCCCTCTGCTTTATAATGCTCTTGTCAGCATCAGTGTGACCAGGCACAGCTCAGCCCAGGCAGCACAGGGCTCTGCACATCCCTGGAGCTGCTGCTCTGCCCAGCTCTGAGCCCTGACCCACCTTCAGACAGCGAGGGAAGCGCAGCAGCGGGTTCACACCCACTTTGAAGTAGAAGAAATCCAGGGGCAGGAGGCACAGCACATCCATCTGAAATCCACACAGGGAGAAACCTCTGTGGGGRCCTGCAGGAGCACTGGGGTGGAGCTGCAACCCGCGGGGAGGATTAAACATTCGGAGGAATAAAGGGAATTATGACAAACCTTAAAGCGTTGTGATCGCAGGTAGTTCTCTTTCATGGCCTTTTTATCAGTCTAGGAACAGGAAGGAGAGAGAGAGGAATATTGATGATTGCTTAGAGAAAGGAAAGTCAGGGACAACATGGGCATGCTGGGCTTTCCTCCTCTGCACCACAACAGGGGAGATGCTCCCTTTGTGCCTGGAAAGGGGATCAGATCAAGAGGAGAAGCCCTGGCTCTGTGCCATCTTCCCATCCTACTTTGAGACACCCTGTGTTGATTTTGCATCCTAGAAAAAGCACAATGCAGTGCCAGAACCGCAAAACTCAGCATTTGCAGGAGAAACCTGCCTGTCTGAGCACCTACAGGGCCATGGGAAGGCTGTACCCTCAAGGTGTGGTTTCTTACAGCTTATTTAACTGGATATGGAAATGAAATCAAGGGCTTTCCTTTATCTCARGCATGTGATCTGTGTGTTCAGAATRCAGTTGTTAATGCATCCTGGYGTGCTGCTGGAAATTAACCCYGAGTTTGTTCCACCCATGCCCAGGGTTGGCAGAGTGCAGCTGTGCCAGGGCTGTCACTGAGAACCTCCCCACGGGCAGAGCCACCCCAGCAGCAGCCCAGGAACACCCCACACAGGCTCTAGATGGGATGGCACTGGTTTTATGGAGAAATATGGTGTGTTTGGCAGGCAAAGAGACTGCCTGCTTATCCACTCCACGCCAGCAGAGATRCTCATGGTGTCTCAAAGTGGACAGAGCCCTGCTGGCCGTGGCCAGGGTGGGAGAGCTTGGACAGCACRATGGGATGTCAGAGAGCAGCACCAGCCATGCCCAGGGTTGGCAGAGTGACAGGGGTGCCACTCAGGTGACAGGGATGGGAGGTGCCCTCAGCTGTCCCCAGGGTGGGGAGGCAGTCCCCTGCCACTCACGATGATGTCTCCACCCTGAACAAACTGCAGGCGGGTCTGAAAGACGAGGATGTCCAGCAGGTAAATGAGGTCGCACAGGTAATCCACCAGCAGCCAGTAGTGGATGTTTGCTGCAGTCTGGTAGGGGAAAGCCCAGCGCACTGGGATCAGCCAGCAGTTCCAGTTCCAGGCCATGACAACGAAGAACAGCCACAGCACGTACATCAGATCTGCACAGAGGGAATAGCACTATGATCAGACAGGCAGATGTTTCTCCTCTGTGTGAATCCCCTATCAAAGGGGATTTCATCCCCTGCCTGCCCTGAGCACAACAGGAAACCTGCAGGAAGGCTCTTGGTGACAGTGTTTAACTGCAGATGAGCTGGACTCTAGCTCAGAGTGAGCACAACTGCTCAAAGAGCACACCAAGATTTATCAGAAAGCTTCTTCTAACTCTGCTCCTTCAGATATATTTGCTTTTGTTTGTTCCCACAACACCAACAGCCATGCTGAACTGATGGCTGGCTGCCTGAGCCCAGGGGCTTCCAAAGGACTGAGAAATATGAAAGGGTGGCCAAAAAGCAGCAGATTTTTCTTTTGTGATTTTAAATATTTTTTTCGGGTATCCACAGCACAGGGAAAGCAGAATGCCTAGTCACACTCCTGACACCCACAGCTGGAAATATTTAGGAAAGCCTGTACTTTGGAAGGGAATATAAAATTCTGGGCTTTGGTGAAAACTAAATTGTTTCTTGCTTAGTTCTCCTCTCCTCCTCACCCCCTCTCCCCAGCTTGCCCCCAGCCCAGGCACGAGGCCAGGCTCCATCACTCACTGGTCAGGGGGTCGATGCTGCTGGGGAACCGGGAGTTTTTCAGGCGGTCCAGCCAGGGCCGGTGCTTGAACGTGCAGCACAGCATCTCACAGTAATGCTCATCCCCCGAAGGCTTGTCCCCCTCCAGCTCCCCTCCTGGGGCAGGCACCGGTGCTGCTGCCAGTGCTGGCTTGGTGGGAGCTGGGAGAGACCACACAGTTATTTTAAAGGACAGAAAAATCTTACTGCAGTTTGGTTGAAGGTTTTTAAGCTGTTAATAAAGCAGCTGTCTCCCAGAAAACACAGCATTGGTAGGGACCCACCAGGGAAACACTCCCAGCCCCCTGAACTCACATGCCACGGGGCTCTCCTCRTCTGAGGTGACATCGGGGTCAATCAGCTTCTCCTTCACCTTCTCTGTCCTCTCCTTGAAGAGCCTCACCAGCTCCTGCAGCCGTGCRTTGACCATGGCACTGCTCAGGCTGGTGGCCGAGTCCATGCACTCAGACAGGCTGTGGGGAGAACAGAGGGAGTTTCGTGCAGCTGGGAAAGCCCAGGGCAGGTTCAYGGGATCACAGAATCCTGGAGTGGTTTGGGTTGGAAGGCACCTTAAAGCTCAYCTCATTCCAAACCCCTGCYGTGGGAGGGACGCCTTCCTTTAGATMAGRTTGCTCCAAGCCCCATCCAACCTGGCCTTGAACCATGACCCAATCACGGCCCATTCTTTAACCCACAGCTCCTGAATTAGGATTTACCTGTTATTATTTGGGTATTGTGTAATGAGAAGAGCACAAAATGGCATGGTTCCCACTCCTTTGGTATCCCAGCACTTCCAGGATTTTTGCCATTCCCCCCAAGCCCCAGTTTGTGAATCCCTGGCAGTTTGGCTGATCCCGAGTCCCTGGGTCCCTTTACTCACCTTTCCCTCTGCTCCTCACTCCAGCCCAGCACTCGGGAGGGGCTCTGGCTCTGCAGCCCCTTGTCCAGAYCATCCTCCAAGAGCAGCCGCTTCCTCCTGCAGGCACAAACACAGTGACACAGGCTCAGCTTCTTTCCCATCTTCAGCTGACTCCTCTCCCTCCTCCTTCCCTTCCTTCCCCTTCTCCTGCTAGGGCCAGTTTCCCCTAATTTTGGACATTGCCTGGAGTAAAACAGGAATGACCGCCCCACTCCTTTGCTGCAAAGCGCTGTTCCTCCCTGGGCACTCCACGGTGCCTCCTGACCCATTTTTGCAGCCCAATTTGGGTACCTGGCAAGATGTAGGGAGGGCAGGCATCACCCTGTGCTTGTCCCCAGTGCCACAGTGTCACATCACTGCACTTCAAAAGGCAGGTGAGTAAAGTTGTGTCCACCAGCTGGTGGCTCCCTTTGGCACAGACAGGATCCTCAGATGAATGAATTCCTTACACGTGGGCAAGCGAGGTGTGAGAAGGGAAGCTGGATATGAAGGTGGCAGTCCCAGCAAAAATCTGGGCTGGTTTGCAAACCTGCAGCCGAGCCCAGAATTGTAACTGTGRTGAAGAAATGGTCTCCTGCCACCACAACTGGCCATGGCACAAAGTGTCTCGGTGCTGTGTGTGGAGCAGGAGCAAGCAGGATGCTGAGGGAGGTAATTCTGCCATCACAAATCTCCCAAAGAAAGCCAAATGCATGAACCCACCACCTTCAGCCTCGCTGGCTCTCAGGTGTGTCCWGCTGAGAGGTGGAGCAGGTGAAAAAGGCTGATGGACCTTCATTTCCCAAGTGCAGGGGTGGAGTGAAACCACCAAAACCCCTTTTAAAGCGCTCTCAAACGTGGATGGAGGGGCTCCCAAAACCATCAGTTTGGAGAAACAGTCGTGCCAARGTCTGGATTGTGTTAGGACAGCATCCATTGCCTCTCACCAGTCTCCAGTGCCCTTCCCTGTCCCCTCAGGGCCCCACTGGCCTGTCCTTGTCCCTGAGCAGATGCTGCTCTGGCAGCCCCTGGCTCTGTCCRGGGTCCCTGCAGCACCAGCCCACATTCCCCATTCCTGGAGGCCCTGGCTCAGCCTGAACATCACTCTGGCTCAGACTGAGCATCACTCTGGCTCTGTCACCCTTGGGATGCTGCAGGCAGAGGCCATGGGCACTAGGACATGTGGGTCCCTGCCCAATGGCACCAGCCATGGCACCCCGGTGTTTATGGGCAGCAGTTTGTTCCCAGGCTCATTTCAATGAGTCTTTTATGACCCTGCCCAAACCATGTTAACTCGAATCCAGACCCATGCAGGAAATAACTCCAGGCTAGAGTGGCCAGTAGAAGGGACTTAGGGATAACTGCTCAATGCAGTTTTGTCCCATTCCTCTGGAGACACSAGCAGGAGATGAGCATTTTCCTTCTGGTTCACAATAATTAAATTCTATTTCTTTCTGTAGGAGAACAGAAGTTCCTTGCTTTTTAAAACACCCAGSTCTACCAAAGGACCTCCTCCAGGTGTTGTTTTGAGACAGTCCTGGAGACCCAGCAGAAAGGTTTATATGCTCACAGTCTAATTGCAAATATGATTAATGCTGTCAGTATTTTCACTGCATGTATTTCACGTGAAGCCTTGGGCTCTGCTTTCCCAATTTAAACAGCTCTTCAACAGACTGCATTGTGGACATTTTTACCAYTTTATTTGCTCCTTCAGGAGCTTGTTTACTAAAAGATCCACGCTATTAAGTGAAAATGACTACAGCCTGGTTTTCAGCACAGAAAAAAACACACTTTAGTTTTCATTTTTAATCCTCTGCAAGTGTGAGCCTCAAGAAAAACCTAATGCTACAACAGAAAAAAATCCATCAGCTTCCTCCAGCCTAAATTTTAAAGTTGAGTTTTAGTCCTCCCTCTCTCTGAACAGAATCACTGAATGATCTGGRTTGGAAGGGACCTCAAAAGACCATTAAGTCCAGCTCCTTCCARCTAGACCAGGTTGCTCAAAGCCYATCCARCCTGGCCTTGAACACTTWGAGGGATGGAGCTTCCACCACTCCTCTGCAAGCACAAACCCAGGGAGGAGATGCTGCAAAGCTTTGCAGCAAAAATGTGAGAAGAAAATTGTTTATTGTTGTGATGAAGGCCCACAGCCAGCACATAGACCCCCTGACTTCTGAATTTGGGACAGAGACATGTGGATAATAAACAAARGGGATTTGACCATGGCCTGGGGATCAAGCCCATCTCCAGAAGGACACACAGAAAGGGCTGTCCCTGGCCCCAAAAAAGCTTTAAACAAAATGTAACAATTTCATTTAAAAATGCAAACAAGAGGCAAGACTTTCGCCATCTCCTCTGCTGTGGCCCGGGCTGACACCCTCTGCACACACATCACTGGCCAAATCTGCTGGAAAAATGGGTTGTTCCACATGGTTTTTGAAATGTCCCTGTCCTGGTACCCTCTGGGGAGGGTGGGGCAGAGCCATACCTGGGGGATGCTGCGCCAGGCACCGCCAGCAGGTCGGGCACTGCCAAAGGGGCACCGCGCTCCTCCGCAGCGCCTGCGCTGTCCACATCCTCCATCTCCACCGTGGGGTGACCTCCTGCTCCATGGAAGGACAACAATGCCATGTGAGGGGGGAGCAGGGCCCTATCTGTGACCAGGATGGCTCCCCAGACCCCATGGCTGCCACAGAGCCGCCCTCAGCGTGGTGGAAGGGCTCTCCTTCTCCCTCCGTTCCCTTCTTGCCTGGCTCTCCTTTCTCCTAAGCATTTGGAGAAATTATTTATCTTTTTTTTGCCTGATTTTTAGCACTCTAAGAACTGCCATCTGCTTCCCTTCTGCTTGCCCAGCTTGCAGCAATTGAAGCTGCTCCATCTGAGTGTTGGGTTCCCGTGGTTTGGAAAACAACGGAGATCAGGATTCCCAGCTGCAGGTGCTGTGCAGGAACCCAGGATTTCCAGGAGCAAACCTGCCTCCCAGGGTGCAGAAATTCTCCTGGTTCTTCTGAATGGAAGCATATGGATCATGACAGCTCTGACTCACACAATGTTTGCTTTTCATGCAGAATAAGGCACWATTTAAATAAGCATTCATGGCTTCTTCCTTTTGCAGAGATAATAACTGCTTCCTGCCACAGGTAGGGTTAGGAGCAGGAAGGCTGGATGTTTACAATGGGTAAAGAAAGATGCCAGTTGTCCAWAGGAGAAATTTGGCCAGACCCCACAGTGGCTTGTTTGAGTAGTGTGGTCACTYTGCTCAGCTGTTTAACAAAATACAATGAATTCCTGCAGGATTTCTTCTGCGGGAGGTTTTCACACTTCTGAAAGACCCCATGCACCCCCTCCTCCTTCACGCTGATGTGGAACTAGTGGATCAGAGTGTGGCTTGATTAAATCCCTGAGAAAAGGCCTGTTTGGGTTGCAAAGTTAAAATCCTGTYGCATGTGAGGAAAAGCAGCAGAATTGGGCTTGCTGGTTAAAAACAAAGCAAAGCAAAGCTGCAGAAAAGGCAGAAAGCCATGGACAGCAAACCTCCACCATCCTYTCCTCTTGGAATGAGCAGGCTGCACAAATGCTGGAGAGAAAAGAGTGTGTGTGGTGATATTGCACCCTCTGCCTGCAGGTCCTTCAGGAGCGCTTTTCTGAGCTCTAAATGCACAGCATTTGCAAACACTCTCTAGGCTCAGCTAACAAGGCACATAGTGGTGAGGCAGAAGCAGAAAAACACATGGATTTTGTTCCCCAGCCTCTGTGCTGCAACAGGAAGCGTGCTTTTATTTTTTTTTTAATTCTTTCCCCCCCAAAAAAGCAACAAAAAAAAGCAACAAAAAAAAAAGCAACTACTCCAGGAATCCCCCCACCCCTCCGACTACGCGAGGCCATCGTCAAAGCCAACACTTCTAATACCTAGTGGGGATTGCTCCTCAGTGCAAAAATTGGGGTTGACAACTCCAGCCTTTGGCTTGCAGGTGACAGGGACGGGGGTGGAGCGGGTGGCAGCGGTGGCTCGGTAGCTGGGGACATTGGGGAGCTGCTCTAGAGCACCGGGAGGGGACGGGTCCCCGCCAGCCAGCGGCTTGTCATGCACCAGCCRGTCGAGCTCGACGTCCCGGGCCCGCCTGGCCATGCTGAGAGCAGCCTGCAAGGTGCTTCAAGCAAAGGACAAGGCATCTGAAGCTGCAATAAAACACAGAGTGGTGTGAGACATGTGTGACATGGGGTGGGTGTGTCGCGGCAGGACTGCGGGGCTGCAGGTGCTCACCGGGGTGGGGAGCAGTGATGGGCACAGTGAAAAAAAAAACCGCGTGTTTTTCATGGAGTTGTGGGGTGTTAAGGGGTGGAAGGGACCTTACAGATCGTATTCCATGGGCAGGGACATCTCCTATTTGGCCTTATCCCCCGCTAGGGGCCATAAGCACTACCAGGGTTGGGGCATTCCTGCAAAGCAGGGATTTGGGATCATGAGAAGAATTTTAAGACAGCTAAATGTAAGAAAATCTTTGTTCTATTATTTTTAATAATTTTCCCCCTTGATTTTTTTTTAAATTATGCTCCCTTCAAATGCTATTACAATATCTCACTGTAATGCTATTACAGTATCTCGCCCCCCTCACCGTGAAGAATTTCTTCCTAATAATCTAACCCAGATTCCCCCTTTTTCACTTTGTACCCATTACTCTTTGTCCCATCACTACAGTTCCTGACAAATTAACATTTTCTAGCATCACTGCCCCTCTGCAAGGGCTACATGACAGAGAATCTCAGGGATCAGGGCAAACCACTCCCTGTGAAACTTCCCAGTGTCAGTGGAGTTATGCCAGGACCTGCCTTTGCTCRCTCAGGCTGCAATGGGAACTCACCMCCTCATTTTCCTCACCAGCCCATTGCTTCCTAAAAGGTCATAYTAAAATGTGCTGTGTGCCACTGGTTATTTCCCAAATGGAGAAAAGTGGTAGAGAAAATACCTTTTACCGCTGCACGCTCTCCAGCTGAAGGAGCAACTCTTATTTCACATCGGGGATTGCTTAATCAACAGAACTCAGGGCTGTGCCTTCAGAGCCAGCTCCAGACAATGCCAATGTTGCCATTGTGCTGTGCTCACAGGGTGCTTTACCCCAGTGAAAAGCCCTGAGTGCCCAAGCAGGCCCAGAAAACTCGGCTGCCTGCTCCCTGACAGCAGGAAAGGAGCAGCTGGATTCTCCCCCCACCAGGCATCACCCCTGCTTGGCATCACACTGCCACAGTTATTACCTTCAGCATTGGTTTCAGCAGCTTCAGCTGTCTCCTCTTCCACCTTCAAAATGAAAAAAAAAAGCAATTTTAAGAAAAAAAAGCCCTGCTTTGTCAGTAAAAGAGCAGATTTTGCAGCTTGGCTGGATGCCCCATGTGCCCCTGACTCGGCAGACTCTCAGCTCATGTTCACTGCCCTCCCTCCATCCACTGCTCCTGCTGCTGGCCCAGCTCCAGGGATGGGATATCTCAGTGGGATCCCCTGGGAGAAGCTCTGAGCCCCCAACACTCACTGGGCAGCGAGAGCTCATTGCAGAGCCGAGCCCAGGTAGGGAGTGATGCCATACCTGGACAGCAGCACCTTCCAGATTACTTATCTCAACTTCTTCCAGCTGCTCGACCCCGAGGGCCTCCTCAGCCAGGCAGGCTTCATCCACACCTTTATCAGCAGGGAGGCAAGGTGGCTGCAGCAGGGGTCTGGAGGGGAGAGAAAAAATACTGCAAAAATTACCAGGCATCAATAAAGCAGGGCATTGCATGTGCACAAACRAAAATTACAGCTGGAGAAGGATCCAGGCAGAATGTTTCTCCCCCTGTGCATAATCATTTCTCATATAATTAAAATTGGACAAATAAAAAGCCGAAGCTTAATTTCCAGGCAAGGCTTTCCCACAAGCACTATTCACATCTCACGTTTGCCTGTGCAAGACACCAGCAGGACACATAATTCCTTCAGCAGCAAGCACAGACCTCAGCTCCACCATTCTGGCAAAGAGGCTCTCAAGATTGGTTTTATTGCTTTAAGATAACTTCATAATTGAAACAAAAAAGCACCTCGCATGTTGCTCTGTGCACTTATCTCTTGATTTGCTCCTTCCTGCCAAGAAATGCAAAGCAGGGATTTGGGATAATGAAAATAATTTTAAGAAAGCTAAAKGCATGAAAATCTTTGTTCTATTATTTTTAATAATTTTTCATCTTSATTTTTTTAAATGCTATTACAAATCTTTCCATCCTAAACCAGAAAACCTGTTGGTCTCTCTCTCTCTTTCCAATAAACAACCACACTGAAAGATGGAGTCACATCTCATTCACCCCACAATTGAAACTCAAATTTCTATAATGAAGCTCCAGGAACAGATTTTGATGAAGCACAAACATATGGGTTTGAAATTCAGTAATCATGTGTTTTCAGCTTCTTCCTGAAAATCTAGCTACTTTAGAGGAATTAGCAGAGAATAATATTGTAGTACTAGGTAATAAATCCCTAAATGTTTATCTCATGTGAAATCGGAGCAAACTACTAAATTAAGCAGAAAAACGTCTCTCAACACCATCCAGACCAAAGTCACCACCTGCCACAGCTGWCAAGAACTCGGCTATTTTCTACAACAGGAAAAAACGTAAAATTGCACCTACTTGTATGAAGCAGCATTTGCAGACACAACACATAATCCTGCCTTTACATTCAGCTYTGTATCACTCAAAATAATGCCGAGTGGCCGGAGTGAATGGTCACGGTTTGAACAGCACGGACCATCATCTCCCGAAGCGGTTGCTATGGGCGGCCGCGATGGAGACGGAGCCCGTGTCACCAGAGACACTCGCCCGTCACCAGAGACACTCGCCCGTCACCAGAGACACTCGCCCGTCACCAGAGACACTCGCCCGTCAGCAGGAGACACTCGCCC